GACTCAAATTTCTTTCCATTTCATTCCTCTTTTGCATAGCTATCCAACTGATTTTCCTAAAGCATGGGTTTGATCATGTCACTCCCCCTCTACTCAATAAATTCCAGTGGTTCCCTAGTACCGTTAAATTCATACATCAACTTCTCATGGATTCAAAGTACTTCACAAAATATCCCCATCCTACTTTTCCAATCTTATCTCCTCTACATACTTTCTGATCCAGTCAAGTTGGACTTCTTACTGGTCTTTGTACAAGACATTCAACATACCAGCACACACTAAGCTCTTTATAAATGCTTGTTGATTAATTTAATAAATGCTACTTAGATTTGTATTGAATTGTTTTCCCTTAGATACTTCAGAGATGATCTATCAAATAAGCTGGGCATCTTCTTCTTCATATATTTTATGAATACTAATGCTACACTCATGATGACCATATTACCCCTCCCACCTCCTTTTCCAATCAGATATTTTCTCCATGATATCCCTTATATCACTTCTACTTCCTCATATAACATGCATGCATGGAATGCTGGGTGTGGATTCAGGAAGACCTGAGTTTGAATCCTGCCTTAGGCCCTTACTAATTGTGTGACCTTGACTAAGTCATTTAATTACTGGGTACCTCAGTTTCCTCATCTGTAATATGTAATATGTTCCTTATCCCCATATGTAAAATGGGGAAAACAATGCCACCTACTTCCTGGGGTTGTTGCTGTAAGGATCAAAAGGTATACCATATGAAAAGCATTTTGTAAAGTACCATAAAGTGCCATGATGATAATTACGATTACTAAAAGTATCTCTGATGATTATAAAAGCTCATATGAGAACAGAGATAAATCCGAGGAATATTTGTTATCCCCTGATAAACTCATCTATGAATGCTCTTGGGATGATACAATTCAGTTGGGTTTCTGGTCAAGTTTTCTATAGATTTGGTCCATATCTATTTCTTGCTATTTTATAAGGTGATACTGCTCATAGTCTTTTGCCGTCCTTTTCTGTATCATTTTACAAATTAATTTGTAAAATGTAATGCATCATAAATAAGACAAATAAAAATTTATGGGAAATAGCCGAAGTAGTACTTAAAGGCAAAATTGTATCACTGAATACTAATTAACAGGGGGGAAAATAAATGAGTTGAGTTTAGCATACATTAATTTGCTCATTTTCTAATTTATTTAACTGCAAGCACAAAGCAAGAAATCAGTAAGTAAAAGGAGAAATTAATAAAAGAGAAAAAATACTGAATTGAGAAATATCACTAAAAGCTTGTTTTTAAAGACCAATAAGATAGAAAATCATTAGCAAATGTAATCAAAAAAGAAAGAAGAAAATTAAATTACAAAATCAGAAATGAAAAGGGGAGCTCATAACAAATGCAAATAAATTTAAAAAAAAAAAACTAAGACTAATTACTTACAACTCTATGACAACCAAATGAGAATATAAAAGAATGATTGAATAGCTAACCCACTCCACCCCTAATGCCCCCAAAAATCAAAGAGAAAATAAATAACCGAATTCAACCCAATCTCAGGAGAGAAACTGAAAATAAAAATAAAAAGGCAATATCACTGACAAGCTTTTACATAAAAGCAGAAACAACCAAATGTGTTGACAAGTAAATTATATCAAACATTTAAAGAAGAAAGAATTCCTGTAATTTATGATGCCTTTTAAAAATAATTAATTTTTCCTACAAGGTAAATATAATTCTGATTCTCAAATATGGCAAAGACAGGACATAAAAAGATAATTAGAAGTCAATATAATTAATTTAAGAGGTAGCATGGTTCATCGTAAAGAGTGCTGGAATTGGAGTCAGAGGAACATCTGTCATATCCTGCCTAATTACCTGTGTGACCTTGTACAAGTCACTTAAAATCTCCAGGTATTGGGTATCTCCACTTCAAAATGAAGGAGCAGGATTTTATAACACCCCAGGTTCCTTCAATTTCGATATTTATAATCCAATTGAATAATGATGAAAATATCAAATTAAATAGTAACAAAAAGAATAGAGGCTATGTAAAAACATAACTAAACAAAAATATCATTATCAAGTAGAATTTATACTAAGAATACAAGTATGATTCAATATTAGGGAAACATCAGTGTGATAAATCATATCAGTGTCAGTGTAAATTATATAACAAATCAGTAAACATAAAAAATCAGTAGACATATAAGAACTCTGATAAAAAACAAGTTTATGTTTAATAAAAATAAATATTGTAGAAATGAAATGATCTTTCCCTAACATGATAAAATAAAAGTTATTCTATGCAATAGAATAATTTTATAAGCTTTTCTGGGAAGAAATAAAGCACGGCTGTCTGCATTAACATTAAAATTTGACATTAAACACTTAACATCAAATTTTTGGAAATGTTAACTATGTGAGTAAAGAAAGATAAATTAATGTAATTAATAGAGCCAATAAAGAGGCTAAATAGCTTTATTTACAGATGATATTTTGGTATATCTAGAAAGTTCAAGTGACAGCAAAACATAAAAGAAATGACTGAAGGTAAATGGCTTCAGCAAAGTAGCAGGATATAAAATCAACACGCAGAAATTTTAAAAATTAAACTTTCTGTATGTCACAAGAACAGAACAAATTAATGAAAATAAAAACACCATCTTCAGTAAGATAATGTATCATATTATTAAAAATGAACCAATATAAAAATAAGAAATATAAGTATATATACGTATGTGAGTATATATGTACATACACGTATAATAACAACCATAATTAAATTTAAATATAAATAAGAGAAGAATTAGAGAGATACCCCATATTATGCTTAGGTCAAGTCACTATAGTGAAGACAGTAATTTTTAAATAAATTTTTATTGATATATTATGATTTTTACATTGCCTAAATTCTCCTTTGTCCCTTCTTCTTCCCCTCCAAAACAGCCATACTTTATCAAAAAGATATTTTAGAGAAAAAGAGAAAAAAGACAATCAAAAGTCAGCAAAATTAATCAATGTGTTCTTTCATGTATTTATTAATAGTTTATACAATTCTTTTCAGAACTATGCATATCCTTGGGACAGCTAGGTGGCACAATAGATAGAGTACTGAGCCTGGAGTCAGAAAGATTCATCTTCTTGAATTCAAATCTGGCTTAGCTATGTGACCCTGGCCAAGTCACCAAACCCTATTTGCCTCAGTTTCCTCACCTTGAAAATGAATTGAAGAAGGAAATGCAAACCAATCCAAGATCTTTGCCAAGAAAACCCCAAATAGGGTCACAAAGAGTCAGGCACAACAGAAAAATGACTGAATAACATGCATATCCTTTATCCACTCTTATTAGAAAGTGGCTTTTAGTCTTATATATTTCTATGAGTTGTCTATATTGGCTACCTGAAAAACTGGTGAAATTTTTTTTCTCCATTCCATGGTTTTCCTTGTTATCTTAGATACATAAATTTTGTTATCCTCCCCTCCCCACTTCAGAGAAAAACTCTGACACTACGTGGAATGTTCCACCTCCATGGAAACTCTAAAACGGAGCTCTCTTATATTTCTTTGAGGCTCTTAATAATTTTTTATAATCATTGTAAGTACTATTTTATTAGAACTTGCTTACTTCACTTTGCCTCAGTTCATGTAAGTCTTTTTATGTTTCTCTGTATTCATTATGTTCATTGTTTCTTACAGGCAAGCAATTTGTTTAGCCATTTTCCAGTTGATGGGTATTTACTTGGTTTCTAGTTGTTTGTTACCACAAAAATTGCTGGGTATAAATATTTTGGTGAATGTGGAGCTTTCCATTTTATAAATGACAGCCTTTCATTAAATGTCTAGCAGGGAAATTTGGGGTCAAAGTATTTGGACGTTTTTAGCCACTTTATTTGCATATCTCCAAATCACTTTCCAGAATGGCTGCACTAATTCAGAGCCCCACCAATGCTCCTCTAGCCTGCTGATCCTTTCATGACTCCTCCAACATTGACTGCTACCATTTTTTATTACCTTCACCATTTTGCTGGATATGAGGTGAAATCAAAGAGTTACTCTGATCTGAATTTTCTTATTATTAGTAATTTGAAGAATTATTTTATGTATTTGTTAATTGTTAATAACTGTTTGCAGTTCTTTTTAGAATTGTTTGTTCATATCCTTTGTCTACTCTTTTGTTGGAGAATGTTTTTTGATCTTTTATATTTCTGTTAGTTGTCAACAATGGCTACCTGAAAAATAGAATACAGGTTATTTTCCCTATTCAACTGATTCCCTTCTTATCCTAGATGCATTAGTTTTGTTTATGTAACAATATTTTAATTTCATGTATTAACAAATATTAATTTAGTAATGATATTCAAAATAATTTATGGATATACAATTATTAAAATCCAATGGGCTACTCCACATAATTAAAGTGGTAACAAAATGTATATAGGTAAGGAAACAAACACGAATACCAAGGGGAATTACAAAGGAAAGAGGGAAGGGAGGACTTATACTAACTGGTTTAAAATTATGTAATGAAGCAGCGATTATTTAAAAAAACTGTCTGGTATTTTATTTTTAAAATGCATTAATGAAATGACAGTTAATTCAGAATTTTAAACTCAGTCATGTAACAAAGTGATATTTGAAAAATCCAAAACAATAAAACATTGGAAGAATGAATCACTGTTTAATAAACTATATTGGGAAAGTTGGATAGCACTATGCTTTTTTAATGTGATTATATTCTCATCTCCACCATATGATAGAATACATTCTTAATGGATCAATGATTTAAGTATTTTTAAATTATTAGCACATTAAAAACCTGACATGACAGCTACTTCAGTTGTGCAAAGGAAGAAAATTCCTACCTACTCAGCAAAGAGGAGAAATTATAGGAACCAAAACATATGGAGTGATTTTTTTCCCTAAACCTTTTATTTTAAAGGTGTGAAAAAACTTCCAATATGGAAAAGCCCTCATGTTAGAAGCTATCTGTCATGTATTGTCTTACAGAATTGCCTACTGACATTGAGCCATAAGAAATGACAAATAGGAAAAGTATCAACGAGAGAAGATATATGAACCACTGTAGAAGGAAGATAGCTGAGGTGGCTTAACAATATACACATGGACTACAGGTCTGTAAAAATGATCATCGGAGCAATAAAATCTGGGTAAAAATACAGAGAACAATTTAAAAGTGTATGTAGAAGTCAAGGCATTTTCATGACTATCTTCTTAAAATTGTTAGACTCTTAAAAAGAACCTATAAGTAAAGCAATTTATGTTTTTATTTATGACCATTTTATTCTATTAATTATTGTAATGTTTGTTTCACTTTATAGATATTGTTTGCAACAAACAAAACTTAGGACATTTGCTATCTTTGATGTGGTAGAACTGCCAATGTTGTCCATGATTTTTTGAAGGTCTGGGGCTCAGCAATTCTATCTACAAATTCTGTCTGTGGTTGATCCAGGCCCAATCATTTGAATTCATTGAAGACATCTAGATATAATCTTATCAGTTCTCCACTTATATTGGTCCTGATTCCATCTTAAACATTCTCTGACTCATGGCTTCCCTGGTTCATCAAGTCTCAGTTAAAATTCCACCTTCTATAGGAAGCCTTTCCTGATCCCTCTTAATTCTCATGCCTTCCTTCTGTTGACTATTTCCAATTTATTCTGCATAGAGCTTACTTGTTTACATGTAGTCACCCCCATTAGATTGTGAGCTCCTCAAGAGCAAGGACTATCTTTTACTTTGCATCCCCAGCACTCTGAAGAGTTCCTGGTATATAGTAGGTGCCTACTAAATGTCAGTGTTTATTGACTAACTCTAAAGACAGAAACAGTGATAGTTGACTAGTTCTTCCTTCTCTGTCACCATTGACATTGCTTCTTATACTTAGAACAATCATTTTATCCTCTTTTTATTATCTTCTCACACTCACCATAAAACTTAAAAGCACTTTTCTGTCCTTTGTTAGCCTTTATCCCAAGCCTTAGCTTGTTCTGGGTTTTAGCACTCCTGATGTTTTTGTTTTGTTTTGTTTTGTTTTTTTGTAGAAATGTGCTATTCTTTGGTATTAATCTTCAATTACTTGCCCTTGCAACCATTTTCTTCACATATTCTTTAAAAATCTAAAATGACTGATCACTCAGTTCCTGGTGCAGTCATATCAGTTCATAAACAGATTCAATTCAATTAAATCAATGAGTAATTATTAAGTGATTACCGTGTACAAGCTACAATGAAAATACAAAATGAAAAAATGAAAACCGCTTCTGCCTTCAAGGAATTTCATTCTACAGTATGCATTCTTCTTTTCTTTTCCCTCAGGACTATGTGTTTGTGTTGTCAGAATTTTATTCCTGAGAATATGTCAGGAGGTGATTTTCCTTATGGTATTTTATGTCACAGTGCCTTACACTTCTTTCCCCTGATCCCTTTAAATAATACCTCTAAAAATTTATCTGGTGTATATGAGACTGTGTCTAGCTTTTCTTTCCTTATCAAAAATTCACACATAAATCCAATATAATCCAACACTACAAGCATTTATTAAGTACCTACTACATACTAGCTATTGTGATAGGTGCTGAGTCTATAAACCCCCAAATGAGACAACCCCTATTCTCATGGAGCTTGCCTAGGAAGGTGTCATTGATCCTGTGGGAGAGAGGAGTGGAGAGAAATCCTCTCTTTCTCCTTGATGGAACTGGAAAGGAGAAAAAGTCTGAAAAAGAATCCCAAAGAGGGTTTAGCTACTTCTTTTCACTTTTGTCACTGTCACACACACACACACACACACACACACACACACACACAAAGGTAGGCATACAACAAGGGTCCTTCATTTTGACTCTCAGTTATTAATCACTTTTAACAACTCTCCAGTCAATCAGGAGTTCCCTGGGATATCCCAGTAAAGTACATGTCCTTCATTAAAGAGTCAGAGCACAAGCCCAAATAATTGAGGAATTGCTCTAATCACTCTTGTGAATTGGATGGGGAGAAACTGAAAACTAGTTAGGAAGTTATTACAACATGTTCCTGAAAATGAAGCTCAATTACAGATATCTAAATCTAAGGAACATATACCATCATAATATTAACATGTTCTTTTTAATATTAATATTGAGTTATTATAACCATCAACATTAACTTAACAATTAACATTAATATTAATAAGTTATTCACTTCCTTCTTTTCACTTCCTGGAAAGATGCTTCTAACTCCTTAAAGAATAAGCAGCAATGAGATAAATATTACCTGTTCCTTTGCCTTTCATTTTCTCATCCAAGATTTATGGTACAACGTAAAGAGTGTTCAGATGAGAACCAGAGGACATATGTTCCAGTCCCAGATCTTCTGCTTATTACCAGTGTGATTTTACGATAGGTTTATCTATGTCTAAGTGTCCTCTTCTGCAAATCAGAGGGAGTTGTTTTAGATGACTTCAAATGTCCTTTCCACTTATAATTTATGATCCCATGAACTCTATAATATGTAGAGTTTTGGGGTAATAGCCTTCTTCACATATATAAACAGAATTGGTTTTTGCTGATCAAGTTTGACAGTCTCCATATAATCCATATTATGTCCTAGATACATGCCAAAAAGACTAGCCTAAGTCCTAATTGTTTATATAAGATGGCTATGTGGCTGACTGCTCACTGGTATGGCACCAAACAGTATGTCTTTTCTCGATGGCTTCCACAACGGGTTGTAGTTTTTCCCCTTACTCCAAATCCTGCCATAGTTTTGATACTTCAATGTTCAAGTAACACTATGACCTACCACTTTTTCAACCACCAAAACTCTCATTTCCTCCATTTCCATTCTGCTTCAGCTATCTGGTGAGGTGATCACAACTTCACCATCATCCCCAAACTGCTCCGCCATCCACATTCAGAAATTTTGCATTCCTCCATCGTTATCACAATCTTCTACCCCTTTTCTCACCACCTGAAACTATTCTTCACCGTCATTAAGATAGTCCCTTGAGCTTTCCTGTTTTTCTTCATTATGGCTTACTTTTCCTTCCTTCAGTCTTGATCCTTTCATTTATAAGACATTTCAACAAGGCAACTTCATCCACACCTAAATCCTTTTAAAACATTGTTATTCCATTTATTCCCCATGGCTAAGGGCAAAACTTCTGCCTTTCCTATGACCTTTTCCAAAACTCTACTAATGAATGGTTCTCCACAAATGAGTGCTGTCTAAGCTCAATTGAATATTCACCATTACTTATTCATTTTCCTCATCTCTTACCCTGTCCTTCTCTCTCTGTTATCAAGAAGCCAAAAGAAAGAGCTATTTATTATTTGGCACATAGTAGGTACTTAATAAATGTAGGTACTTTATTCATTCTATGTATATACATCTATATGTACATACACATGCATAGATACATATATACATATGCATATATACACATGTATGTGTGTATACATATATATGTGTGTATGTATCTTTCCTCATTTCTTATTGATTCAGCTATGCCATAAATCTGTTGTGAACTAATACTAACAGATGTCAATGCTGGCCATTAGAGTACTGGGAAGAAGAACCTTACTAATTTAATAAATCTTAGAGGGAACGTTTAATTAAGAGTATCAGGCACAAGGACCATAGAAGACATTTACAGACAGTCTTGGGCCCAGGTGGACCTTCTATGAGGAGTCTGAAAAAAAAAGGGGGAGAATAGAGCAGACAGGAGAGAGGAGGAATGAGAGAGAGAGAGAGGGAGACAGAGAGAAGAGGTACTTCCAAATAACTGGAAAATACTAACAAGGAAACATTTCTCAAAAGATATTTCAAAAGCCTCCTTTCTTCTTAATTCCACTTCAACCACAGATCATGTGATCTACTTGCCTGAGAAGATTGAAGACATCCATAATTAGATCACTCATCTCAAATTGGCCAACAATTCAAAACGTCTCTGTACTTTGATCCACCAGTGGGAAACCTCTGGCCTTGAGATCACATGTGGACTTCTAGGTCCTTGGGTGATGCCTTTTAGTTGAGTCCACTTTTTACAGAATAAATCCTTTTATTAAGAGGATTTGTCCTGTGAAATTTGGATTCAGTGAAAGGGCCATATTTGAGGACCTAAGGGGCCACATGAGGCCTCAAGGCCATATATTCTCCACACCTGGACCTATCATCTTCATCTTTGCTCCAATTTCAAAAAGCGAAGTAGATATAGATCCTTGACAAAATCATCTATTTACAATGTATTTTGATCTCAAATACCTCCCTCCCATTTCCACTAAGACTTTGCTTCAACAACTATTCCTGTTCTTTCTTGCTCATTTTCAATTTCTAGTAGTCTATGGGCACCTTTACTACACACGTAGATCTTACTTAACCTTAAAACAAACAAGCAAATAGATAAAGTCAAGATGAAGGAATAGCAGGAAGAAGTATAGCCTAGGTCCCCATCACAACTGCATCATAAAAATCTAGAAAAGGCATCAGGTGTAAAACATCTCCAGGTTGCTTTAATTTGCATTTCTCTAATCAACAATGACTTAGAGTATTTTTTCATATGACTATAAAATAATTTTAAATGTATCATATTGGCTAAAATGATTGAAGGGGAAAGTGACAGATGTTGGAGAGGATGTGGAAAAATTGGGACATTAATTAGTGAATTCAGTGAATTCACTGGTGGTGAAACTGTGCACTGAACCAAGCATTTTGCAGAGCAATTTGGTATGTCCAAAGAGTTATTAAACTGCCTTTATCCTTTGACCTAGAAATACCACTACTAGATCTGTTTCCAAAGATGATTAGGGAAAAAGGAAAAGAACCTATATGTTCTAAAATATTTATTGCAGCTCTCTTTGTGGTGGCAAAGACTTGGAAATTGAGAAGATGCCCATCAATTGGGGAATGGCTGAACAGGCTGCACTACTGTGATATAAGAAATGATGAGCTCGATGATCTTAGAAAAATGTGAATAGACTTGCATGAAATAATGAATAGTAAAATGAGCAAAACTAAGAGAATGTTGCATACAGTAACAGCAGTGTAACTTTGAGTGACTAAGTCATTTTGACTATATAAATACCCAAATTAACTACAAAGGACATATGAAGGAAGATACTATCTGTATCTGTAG